ATTTTCATTTGTTTCAGAGACAGTTACTCACTCACCATATGTGTGCAGCTGGCTCCTGCTCCAGCCCCTGCAGGTCAGCAGGAATCTTTCCATGTCTCCAGCATCTTTAAAATAACCGCCTTCCCATCTTCCAGAGGTGGAGGGAACAGCCAGCCCAGTGAGGCTCTGTCTTTTGGGGTAAAGTGTCCCTGCTACACGACAACACACATTTTTTACGTGCATCCACCTTTTTGTGGGTTCACTGGGATCTCACCCACGCTGACACCAAACTTTCCCTCCCTGTCCTGATTTCTGCAGCAGGGAGGGAGCAGTTTTCTGGGGCAGAGGGGAGGCAGGCAGCCCCCAGCCCCAGGAGCATCCTCTGGTTTGTTTTTAGAGCAGCAGAGGCTGGCAGCAGCAGGTTATTTTGCCCAAAATCAGCCTGAGGTGTCACGTAGATGGAATACATCAAACATTACTGTCTCACCGAGCCTCACACCAATCATTTATTTCTTTAGAAACTGCAGACTGCTCTAGTTTTATATTTCGCAAGTCACCTGTAAAATGTATATCCATAAAACTCTTCCAGGAGGAGGATTCCTGCAGGGACACGGCAGCCTGGCCTGGCTGAGCTCCACAACCCGACCATCTGTGCTGGCTCTGCTGCTCCCCAGCCTGCAGGGAGCTCAGCGCAGGCCTTGCTGCTCTGCACATCCCTCGGGGTGCAAAGCTGCCAAACCCCAAAAAACACCCCAAAACTCTGCAGCCCTGGGGAGCTGGGAGAGCCGGGGGCTCAGAGTGCTGCTCCAGGCTGCACCCAGCGCTTGCAGGGCTGCAGAACTGGGAATTAGTTCCACTTTCTGCTAAAAATGTCTTTTTATTTGGTTAGTCTAACAGGCTGCATTATTATTTACCACATGTGAATCTCCTCAAATTGATTAGAGTTGACATTTCCAGCCATGAGATGAGATCTGGAAAGAGGTAATAAGGAAAAATTATTTCACAAGATTTTGCACTTTAGATTTGCAGGGAGGATCAATTAAATTTAAAATTTAAGGGCCAGATTCAACCTTAAATATGCTTTAAGGAAAAGGAAAGAGTTAATTCCCTCATTTGTTTTATTTCTTGCTCAGCAAAACCCAAGGAAGTTTAAGATGCCTCTGGTTTTGAGTGGTGCTTTTGGATATGACTTGAAGGCAGCAGTGAATGCTTGAGAAACACCGTGTTAACACTTTATGATCTTTAAACCCTGAAGAATTATGGATGTCTACATGGCTATGGAATTGCTGGGGAAGTACTTGTTTCTGGGTCACCCAAGCAAACTTGTTAACTATTTTCCTGGATATTTTCTTGAGCATATGGATTTTTAGTTACTGATTTCTGCCAGGGACCAAATGGTGCTGAGTGCCAGACATTTATAAGCACAATCTCTATTTCAAATAAAAAGTGGCCAAAATGGTCAGTTAGGCTGTGAAAAGCATTTTTTTCAGAGATAGAGAGAAAGAGAGAAGAGGAGAGTCTTGCAATGAGTTCATTCCCCCAGCAGCTAGGTGGACATTGTTATTTTTTGTAAAACAGGTGTGGAAAGGTTAAAGACCAAATATGGGTGTGATTTTTTCTGAGGTTCAGGTATTTTATAGGGTTGAATACACCTTAAAGCCTCCTTCACATGAACCTGTAAATGAGAACCTCTCCATAAAACCTTGCTTACGCCTGCAGAAGTGTAATGTTTAGCTCTCCACAAGTAATAGTATTGAAAGCTTTCCTAGGCAGGGGTCAGGCCCATTTTATTGTAAGTGCAGATCCATTCAAAGTGCAAAAGGACTGAGCTAAAGGACATCTTGATATTACAGGGCTGTTACTCCAGCTCCAGCCTAAACGACCTGAGCAGGGCTGGGGGTCATTGCCCCAGGGAAAGATCACACTCAGAAAATGACTCAAAAATGGGGAGGGGACAGCTCTGCAGGTTTGACTCCTCTGCTCATCTCTGGCTGAAATGAGATATTGACTCCATGGGCTCACATTGGAGCCATTCATCCGCACGAGACAGGTGTCTGCTGGCAAAAATTCCCCTCCAAATGGGAAGAAAAAGATGTTTCCATTATAAAATGATTGTGACCACTCAGCTGCAGTTTTTTGCCCTCAGCCTCAAATGCATTTCTTGCATTCCTGCCTCAGCACACCACCTTAGCAGCCCTTCACGTGCAGCACCACAGCAATTCATCATTACCCAGTCTCCAAATTATTCTAGTGTTGATTAAATTAGTAAATGCAATCACAATCTGAAGCAAGTTAATTGAGAGAATTTATTTGGCCCTGACAGTTTTATGCATGTTTGATTAAGTATTATAAGGTTTGTTTTTGATTTTGCATAATTTAACTTTAAATCCTGCACGGGGTGGGGGAGGGAGCATCAACTATTAATGACCAAAATAAACCCTTTTAAGACACATATATTTATGATTTATTTCTAAAGGCAGTATCTTCCAGATTTTTTTGTTCTGTTGCCAAAGTGACAAATATGTTTAAAGCAATATTTTGAGCCGTCCGCTTCTCGCTATAAATCTCGTGAAATGTGCACAATTCATTAAAAGTTTTGAAAGAAGTACAAGTTAGCATTTATATTGCAACAAGTGACATATAAATGTGTATGTTTGTCTTCAGAGAGGGCCATAAAACATCCAAGGCCTCGCCGGCCGTGCTGACGGGGACTAATGGCCCGCTCTCGGGGCTGATGATGAGTTTCATCACAAATCTTCAACGCTGTCAGCACAAAACTGTTCAATCAACAGGAATATGAGTTGTGTCTTTAGTAAAATTAGCACGGGGAAGAAATACAGCCCCGAGGGCTGTGGGCGGGTTCCCTGCTTGGAGCCCTCCTTGGGGATCTGATCTCTCTGAATGTCAAAGCTTCCATTCCTGCCTGACCCCGGGGCATTTCCTTCTTTATGGAGCATTTCAGCTGCAGAGAGGTCAAAACGTGCCAGGCAGAAAATTGAACGGGGCTGTGCTGATTTTTGTCACAGAATCAGGGAATGGTTTGGGATTGAAGGGACTTCAAACCTCATCTCATTCCATCCCTTGCCAGGGGCAGGGACGCCTTCCACGAGACCTCGAGCTGAAGGTCACTCTGACCTAAAAAACGAGAAGGGTCAGCCTTGGTAGTGGTGCAGACATGGTTTTGGGTTGTGGGGTCACTCACTGGAACTCCCTGGGGTTTTCTGGAGGGTAGGGAAGACCTTTCCCCCCCAGGGGATTCCTGCAGGACGCCAGGAGCCCCCACTGCCACGCTTCCATTCAGCAGCACCTTCGTGATCCCCGAGGCAAGACTGGAAAGACAAAGTGCTTTCATAATTTTATTATTCGAGCTGAAATTCCCATCTCTGGGTTATGGCTCCAGTCCCAAAGAAAGGCAGAGGGAAATAAATGGAATGTGGGTGGCTCTCCTGCTGATCCAAGTCACCAAACAGCTGTTCCCAGTTCCAAGCTACTGGGGAAATTTATCAGCTCTGCACATCCCCTCCTCCCTCCCATATTTTAGGATTGGCTTTTTGCAAATATTACAATGAATAGTATATGTGTAATGTTAGAAAGTTTTGCTGTATTAATTCTCTTAAGTAGTGTGTTAAATATATTTTTAGGTTATAACACAATGTTAAAATAGAAACTGTGCTATGTAAGATACTTTTCAACTAGCTCAAGAAAGAGATGAGATAAGCAAGAAATTCTTCACACAGAGATAACAGCGACAGGGCATGTGAAGAGTCACAGCAGAAAAGAAAAACATTCTTCCACCTTTTCGCCATCTTTATGGAACCACCAGGATTAAGGAGAAGTTGACAAAAACCAGAAAAGTTCTTAATTTGCAAGGAATTTATGCATCATGTATGAGATCTATGAATATTAGATTTAGGTGTTACTCAAAGCGAGTATCTCACCCTAAAAAAAAAAAAACTCCCCCCACATACATATTTTAACATTATGTTGGAACCTAAAACTATATTTAACACACTACTTAAGAGAATTAATACAACATAACTTTCTAACGTTACACATATAATATTCATTGTAATATTTGCGAAAAGCCAATCATAAAATATGCATTTTTCACATCCAGAATTCCTTCTGCTGTTTCAGGATCAAAGTGCTCTGCAAGGCAGGAGCTCCGGGACACCGGGAGAGGAGGTTTGGCCTGTGCAGAGCAGCAGCTCTCAGAGGTGACAGATGGCCTGAGTTATTATTATCATTATCATTATTATCATTATTATTGTTATTATTATTATTATTATTATTATTATTATTATTATTATTATTATTATTATTATTATTATAATTATATGTTTTTCCACCGTGGCACTGCCCAGCCAGAAAGCAGGGCAGGGAGCCAACACCAAACTTGTGCCTTCTTTCCATTGTGAAGAAGAATTCCCAATTAAATCCAAGGGGAAAGAGCAGGGAGGAGGAAGTTCTTTTCCTTCCCTTTGTATCGCTTTGAATTTTGGGTCTTTGGGGGATTCTCTGGACAGCTTTGGGGGAGTCTCTGGGCAACTTTGGGGGAGTCTCTGGGCAACTTTTGGCTGCTGCTGAGGTTACGCTGGACATGGCACATCAGCCTTGGGGTGACCCTGGTGTAACCCCGGTGTGACGTCCTCTGTGTAAACCCGGTGTGACCTCCGGTGTAGTCCCAGTGTAACCCCGGTGTGATCTCCTCTGTGTAACTCCAGTGTAACCTCCTCTGTGTAACCCCGGTGTAACCCCAGTGCAACCTCCTCTGTGTAAATCCGGTGTAACCCCGGTGTAATGCCAGTGTAACCTCTGTGTAACCCGGCTGTAACCTCGGTATAACCCCGGTGTAACCCCAGTGTGACCTCCTCTGTGTAAATCCGGTGAAACCCCCGGTGTAACCTCTGTGTAACCCCGGTGTAACCCCGGTGTGACCAGGCCCCGCCGCCCTTCCGTTGCCAGGGCAACGCGGCTCTTCACTTCCGGCGCGGCGCGATGACGCCATCACCGCGCGCCGCCGCCGCTCCCCGCCCGCCGCCGCCGGAACCGGAGGAACCGGGGCCGCCCCCGCACATGCGCAGAGCGGGCGCCCGGCGGCCCGGGCCTCGCTCCGCCCGGGCCCGGCGCGGCCATGGGCACCACGGTGAGTGCGGGGCTCGGCCCGGCGCGGCCGTGGGCACCACGGTGAGTGCGGGGCTCGGCCCGGCGGCCACGGGGCCCGGGCCTCGCTCTGCGGCGGCGGGAGCTCCGCCCCGGGGCGAGGCGGTGCGGCAGCGCTCGGGCACTGCCGCCGGGCCTGCAGATCCCCGTTCCCGGGGCGAGCCGCGGCCGTGCGGGGCCGCCGGGGAAGGCCGGGCCGAGCTCCCTCCCGGGGTCGGTGCGGTGTAGGAGGAGCCGGTGTTTCCGCCCCTCCCGGTGCTCCCCCCGGTTTAACCTTTCTTTGTCATCGTCCCCAACGCCGTGCGGCTCCTCCCGGAGCGCTCGGGGCCCGCCGGAGGGTCCCGGCACGTCCGGGTGGGCGCGGAGGTTTCCGCTCCCCGCTTTAACGGGAGGCAGTGAGAACGCGGAACGGGAATTTATTGGAATTTATTGGCGTTTTAACGCCCTGGTGCTGGCCGTGCCTCCTGCTGGAATCCTCGCAGCTCTGGGGTGATGCCCCCAAAAGACTCAGTTGGCCCCCAAAATTACGGAGTGGGTGTCCAAACCTGCAAAATACAGACTGGGGGATAATCACAGAATCAAGTTTTGGGGTGGAAGGGACACCCCATCCCACGCCCTCCATGGGCAGGGACACCTTCCACTGGCCCAGGCTGCTCCAAGCCCCGTTCGACCTGGATTTGGACACACCCAGGGCCTGCCCACCCTCCCAGGGCAGGATTTGCTATTCCATATTCAGTTTGTGCTCCCTGCTTCGTGTTTCATGTAAAATCTGTGGCAGGAGAAGGTGATCAGCACGGGTTGGTTGGGATTTTCTGTCCTGGCATTGAGAAACAGCTCCCTGGTTGTTCCCAGCATGGAATCCATACATTGCTGAGTGCTGGGATCTTTTTAGAGTCTTCATGGGCTTAAAAGTTCATGCTTGAGGAGAGGCCTCACTTGTGAGCATTTTAATGCACAAAATGAGCAAATTGGAAATTATTGTGTTGTTTTTTTCTTTTAGATCAGCTCCTGTGCAGAGAGTTGTGAGTTTATGAAGCACCTCAGCAGTTTCTGTCACTCTTCCTAGAAGGTGTCACAGGAAAACTTCGCTCTTTTGTTCCAAGAACTCAGTGGCATCCCAGAACGGCGACGACCTGGATGGCAGCACCCCTAAAATGTAATAATTCAGAGTTTATTTTGTCCTCCCAATGCTCCAGTGTTGATATTTGAGTTCATCCAAAGAGCATGAACCCACCAAAGGCTGTTTGTTCCCGTGGTGGGCACAGCAACTATTTGAGGGTTTGCTGGCAAACTTTGTGCAGGAAGTTGCAGGGAGAGGCTGCACTGCCAGGCATGGAATGCTCTGACTCCCCAGCATGGGATTTTTGACCTGAATTGCTTCAGTCCTCCAAAAATATCTCTGGGAGCAAACTCTGAGCAGTTCATGTGGGAGGTGTGTGGGGTCACATGCTCCAGAACTGGGCTGGGTTTAGGTTCAGTGTCTGAGCAGTTCCTGTGCCTTGCAAAATCCACATTTCTGACTGGCATTTCCTGGCTCCAGACAGGAAATAAGGCAAGAGGCACCTAAAATTATGAAATTATGAGGGTGTCTGTGATGCTTGAGGAGAACCCTTGCTTTCATAAATTCCTTAAATCATAATTTAGCCCTTACTCCTTTTTGGTAGTCCCTGATCTGTGTAGAGCCAACACTGCCTCAAATTTCTGTAAGGGCAAAAAGGATTTGGAACATGGAGCTGAGCAAGAGAGATCAGAACTGGAATTTCCATTTCCCTGGAATTTGAGGCAGGAAGCAGGCAGAGACTTCCCCACTGATACACATTGAATCAGAGCAGGATTTTGATATCAAAAGTACAATTTCCTGCAGCATTGTCATTTGCTCTGTGGTTTTTTCTGTTAGTAATGAAACTAAAGAATTCTTGAAGTAACTCTTGAATTAATTTTAATTTTCAGAACAGTCAGATTTTTGGTTCAACAAAGGAAGGATCTGCCTGGATCTGAACACTTGGGTGTGTGAGGGGTCTGGGGAAGTCCCTGTTGTTTTCCAGCATTATCTGATGAGTGCATTGTCATTTCATAATTCCCGGAATTTGGCACATCAGAAGCCTGGGGTGAAGCAGAGAGCAGCTCAGAGGCTCCTGCTCATCACTCACACGACAACAATGGGTGTGTGGAAGGATGTTAAGATTATAAATCCTAAACACTGCAGAAGATCAAGATAATGTCACTTATCTCTGCAGGTCCCCAAGCGGAGAAATAAACTGGTGGGTGCCTTTGAAAGGCTGCCTGGCCTTGCCTTGCAGTGACAGTGAGAGCACAAGGCTGGCTGAGCCAGGGGAGGTACATCCTGTGGAGTGTGAAAAACATGATTGCCTCATTGTTCTTCCAAGACCTTCCATTATTTTCAGTTTGTTTATTTGGTGAAGCTTTGCCAAGTTTGGAAATGAGCACAAATCTGGAATCCACTTGCGAAAGTACTCAGAGAACTTTTTTTTTTTTGTCTTTTAAAGGAAATGTGACCCCATGCAAACACATACATTAATATTACTGCTCTCACATGAATATTATCACTCAGGTGGGTGGGCTCTTGAGAGTGGCTGTTAGATTAGGAAAGATTTATGAATTAGCCAGGATAATTTCAGACCAAACTTCTTTGCTGCATTTACACTGGATAAAGTTTATAACAGGCTGTTGCTGGCTGGGGAATTTATTTGGAACCTGGCATAGAAATTAAGTGTATTTATGTGGGGAATAAGAAACAAAGAGGCAAAACAAAGCTGTTTTAAGGGAAGAAGTTAAGGTTTGAGAAGCAGTTGTAAGGGAGCGCTAATATTGAAATCAGCTGGGATAAGTTGCTGTATTCAGCAGCTTCAGAAGAAGTGAAGCTTTCTATTGTCATTTAGAGGAGATTTCTCTTGTTGGTGTTGTTTCCTAGCACCAAACCAACCTGCTCACTGTGCCTCCCCATAGGTGTGTCCAGCACAGGGTTAGCTGTGCCAGGCCGGCTGCATGGCGCTGCCATCTGATATGTGAACAGCCTGGGGCAGGCCTGTAGTCAGCAGCTTCAGGAGAAGTGAAGCTTTCTATTGTCATTTAGAGGAAATTTCTCGTGTTGGTGTTGTTTCCCAGCACCAAACCAACCTGCTCTCTGTGCTCCCCACAGGTTTTTCCAGCACAGGGTTAGCTGTGCCAGGCTGGCTGCGTGGCGCTGCCATCTGATATGTGCCCAGCAGGCCTGTATTCAGCAGCTTCAGGAGAAGTGAAGCTTTTTATTGTCATTTAGAGGTGATTTCTCTTGTTGGTGTTGTTTCCCAGCACCAAATCAACCTGCTCACTGTGCCTCCCCACAGGTGTCTCCAGCACCTTGCCAGGCCGGCTGCGTGGCGCTGCCATCTGATATGTGCCCAGTTGCCTGGGGCAGGCCTGTATTCAGCAGCTTCAGGAGAAGTGAAGCTTTTTATTGTCACTTAGAGAAAATTTCTCTTGTTGGTGTTATTTCCTAGCACCAAACCAACGTGCTCTCTGTGCTCCCCACAGGTGTGTCCAGCACAGTGCCAGGCTAGCTGCGTGGCGCTGCCATCATATGTGCCCAGTGGCCTGGGGCAGGCCTATATCAGGAGAAGTGAAGCTTTTTATTGCCATTTAGAGAAAATTTCTCGTGTTGGTATTGTTTCCCAGCCCCAAACCAACCTGCTCTCTGTGCTCCCCGCAGGTGCGTCCCTCGGCGGCCGCCCAGCGCGGGGATAGCGGTGCCCGGCCGGCTGCGTGGCGCTGCCATCTGATATGTGCCCGGCGGCCTGGGGCCTGGCGCGGGCTGCGCGGGGCCGGGCCCGATGCCGGTGATCCCCATTCCCCGGCGGGTGCGCTCGTTCCACGGCCCGCACACCACCTGCCTGCACTCGGCCTGCGGCCCCGTGCGCACCACGCACCTGGTGCGCACCAAGTACAACAACTTCGACATCTATCTCAAATCGCGATGGATGTACGGCTTCATCCGCTTCCTGCTCTACTTCAGCTGCAGCCTCTTCACCTCCATCCTCTGGGTGGCTCTCTCGATCTTGTTTTGCCTTCAGTACCTCGGCATCCGCATCTTCCTGCGCTTCCAGTACAAACTCTCCATCATCCTGCTCTTGCTGGGGCGGAGGCGGGTGGACTTCAGCCTCATGAATGAACTGCTCATCTACGGGATTCATGTGACCATGCTGCTGGTGGGAGGGCTGGGCTGGTGTTTCATGGTCTTTGTGGATATGTAAATAAAACCAAGCGCATGTGGGATCAGGAGGTGACTTTTCTTCTAGCCCCGAAATGTGTCAATATCCTCAATATCCTCGTCTTTTTTTTTTTTTTTTAATATAAATTAATTTATTTCTCAGTGGTAATTTTTGTGCGTAAATTAACGTGCTTGTCTCTGGAATTTGTATCTGTTTGAAGGTGGAGGTGCCATTTTGATTATCAAAGTGCAATACTTGACTGGGTGTTTTATTCTTTGCACAGTGCAAGCTAGTGTAAGTTTCTTTTAATTAAGAGCTTATTTTACTGCTGTTCCTGTATTCATGTGGCCGTGAAAAAGGCAATGATTTATCTGGAGGACAGAAGCCAAATAATTTTGCACTCCACACTCTTAACCCATCTTCACCATTTTCCTAAAAATGTTCCTTAATGTCTCAGGCATGTAATAACTATCTTCCTTGTAGGTTTTTGTTTTGCATATTCCCAATAAGAATCTGGGCCCAAAATTCAACAGACTGTAGGGCTTTGGGATTTTTTTCCTCTTTTATTTTTAGATTTATGCAATACATACATTTGCCCCACTCTCCTGTTTCATCCACTTTAAGGTGATTATGTAGCTTTGAGTGGCTTTGTCCTTTTCAGACATTTAGTGCTGAGTAATTGAGTCTTTCCCTACCAGCACAAATCCACGGCAGGGATGGGAGCAGGGCTTGCTATCATGTGCTCCTGAAATTCCCAGTCACGGCAAATCTGTTCTCATTTTGCAGTGATTAAGGGGGACCCATTGCAGTGATCCTCAGTGTTGAGATCCTGGCATTTGGTTCTGCTTTTCCCTGAATTGATTCGTTCCAGCTTTCTCAGAGATTCTTCTGTCTCACCTCGCTGTGCTCCATGAGACTTACCTGGAAGCAGAGTGCAGTCTGAGCTGGCAATAACTGTTCCCTGAAATGACACAAATTGTTCTACCTCTGCAGCAGGAGAGGGAGGGTCACTGCACAGCGTTACCAACAGCTCAAAAAAGCAGTTGAATTTTAAGCTCAGTTCCATTGGTCTTGGTCTAAGATGTCAGTGTGCAGTCAGTTAAGTAACTCTATTTATGGAGCCCAGAAGCTGGCCTAAAGTTTATTTTTATTCTGCTTTTGTTTGTTTGTTTTGCCTTATGATGGAATATTGCCTTTTCCCCTGCATTCTTTAAGGAACTGTTTGAAAACAAGTTGGTAAAAATTATGCAGAACCTTTTCCCCTCCCTCCATGAAATCTTTGGGGTCAATCATAGGGAAATAAGCAAGAGTGAAATTATGTAACTGGTTTTTTATAATCTCCTTGGTCAGAGCTATGAGTTCCCAGTTGCACACAGGAAAGATCTTCCCATTTGAGCTTGTGAGTGGTGCAGTCTTCTGCTGATATGCTTTGGTTTGGAGGCTTGTGGATAGAAAATTGGAGAAACTTCTGTGTGGAGCCCAAAGCTGAAGAACTCCCCAAAATTCTCTCATTATGCAGTGTTACAAATAATGCAGCTGAACAGCAGAGCTGAATAAATAATGGCCACGGTGGTGTGAACTTTAGATTAGCCCCAAGAGAGCCAAAGACTCTTTCTGCAGCAAAGATGTAGCATCAGCATCTGTCACAAACTGGTGTCTGGAACTTTTCTCCCAACACAGAGCTCCCCAGAGCCTTTTCTGGGATTGTTCTGTGGCCCCCAGATGCTGAGTGTCCTGTAGGTGTGAGCTCCAGCTCTGTGTGTGTGCAGAGAGCTCCCAGTGATGCCCTGCCCGCTGCAGCTGCCAGCGCGGAGCTCTGCAGCCTGGGGAGGCTCTCAGAGAGGCTGTGCTCCAGAATTCCTGCAGAAATCCTATCACAGCCCCCAGCAAACAGCCCTGGAGTGGGCTGGGAGAGCAGCTGGCATCTTCCTTGGCTGCTGGGACCTGGTGTCACACTGAACTTCAGCACTCCTTGGCCAAAAGGGTGATTTGTGGTGATTTGTGGTTATTTGTGGTGATCTGTGGTCCCCTGCTGCCTGGTCCTCTGTGATGGACACACTCAACTGCTTGGCCAAACCTGGGCTGGCTTGAGGAGATAAAGGCCTGGGCTGTCAGGCAGGTGGTGAACTCCTCTGGTTTCACGGTGTTCTTTGAAAACCCCCACAGGAACAGGGTGACACGGCCAGCTTTGATGTGTGTGAGCCTGTAAAGCCAGCAGCGATCATGCGATTAACACATGAATAGCAGGTGGTTCTTCCAGCGCTAATTTGGTCAAGGAACAAAGGAGCTTGTGGGTACAAGGAGTCTCACAACCTTTTTCATCACTTGTAATTTGACTGCGAGCCAACTGCTTTATGCCATAAATATGACAGCCTGAGTGAGCCTTTTTTGAGCTGTCCCTGCTGAGCAGCTGCGGGGATGGGGGATCTGCCCTGGAGCTGGAGCCTCACAAGGTCACTCCTGGGGGCTGAGAGACCCTTGCCAAGGACAGATGTGGGTAAGTGAGCGATGCTGAGCAAAACCTCGTGTTCACAGAGCATTAAAATCTCATCTTGGGAGCCTCGGGTCATTATCACGTCCTTGGTGAGCAGGAGGTTGTGCCTCACTTTTGCACCTTCAATAAACACACGTTGGCCGCTCAGATTTCCACTGGCCCTGTGTTCTCAGCAAGAAGGACGTGTCCTTGTTAAATCACAAAAAAAAACCTGTGCCAAATGCCCAGATGTTCCTCCAGAGAGGCCCTGGGGCTGAGCTGATTTAGCTCAGTGACTCCCCCAGCATCTTCTCCAAAGGTGGCCAAGTACCTGCGCTGAGAATGCCCTGAGGGTCAGGTTCCTGTGCAAACAGAGTTAGACTACCCCAAAATCAAGTGATTGAAGTGGCCTCAAATGCACCATGATGTTCAAAAATCTCTGATTTTTGGTCGTTACCATCACTTGGGCACCTTGGTGCTGTGATCCTACCAGCACGCTGGGGAAGTGAAGTCCCTGTGAAGTCACACTGGCAAGGAAGAGGAATTAATTGTCAAATTATTTGTTTTATGATGTAATAATTTAGACAATTTAGCTCTACCTGAGTGGAGCAATATTTGGCACTTTTCCTCTTCAAAGCCTTTTCCAACTGGAGCTAATTAAACCTCACAACATCCCCAGGAGGTTGCAGAGTAAGTAAGATCTTGGGAATGGTTCAGAATGTAAATTCATTGGTTTTAATTTTTTCTAAAAAAAAGCTTTCAGGATTATTTTGCCAAAGTATTTCTCTCTTGCAGAATTGAGATTCCAAAACTTTCTTAGAAGCTGAAAGGGAGCCAAGCCACAACTGAAGGAGAGAGAAAGAGGCAGACTAAATGTTGTATTAAGTTTATGCAAAGAATAAGTTAATCTTTTCCCCGCCTTTAATTTCATTGAAAAACCTGGCATTATTAATAAAGGGACACACAAAACCTTGTAGAATACAAGTAAGGAAACAGGGCGAGTTGCACTTTTTTCTTTTCAAGAGTGGTTTGTAATGATATTTGCCAGAAATATTTCATGTTGAGCAGGTTCTTGCAAACTGTGCCTCGTTGAGGAATTTCATGTTCTTTTGGATATTTCACTCTGTCCAAATTCAGTGTTGGGAAGAATGGATCAGGCTCCAAAATATATTAAGCCTATTAAAGATATAAATGGCTTTAACTCTAAAATTACTGCAATTGCCATTTCATCATTCCTTCATGCAGATCCCATCTTGAGCAGCGAGAGCAGATGGTTTATTTGGATTGTTCCTTTCTTTCCATGTCTGGTCTTTAAACATTGCTATTCTACGTCGTGGGTTAAAAACACCCTTAAGACTAATTAGGAAAAATATTAGAAATACTGATTTGGGAGAGTGTGTCCATTGCTGAGCTGTTCCAAAGCCTTTGGAGAATGAGTTTTGCTGGCTCCAGAGCTTTGGGAGTGTTTGGGTGCCGGGGGATCCCCGAGGAGCCGTGCGGTGGCGAAGCCGCCTTGGGCCTGTTGTTCAGCCTGGGAACGTTGGAAGGAGATGAAGTGTTGGAGTTTCACCTCGTTAACTCTTCAGAACATGGCACCAGCTGGTGTTTTGGGTGCCTGTAAGATTCTGGATGAAACATGCCACCTACATTAAACTTGGCTCGTTAACATGTTGGTGGATGGGTTGGAAAGAAAAAGGAAGATTTCCTCTTCTCGTGGTGGCGTGGTTGTGGTGTGGGGATGTCCTGGTGGTGGGATGGCAGCGGGTGAGCACAGTTTAGGCTGAAGGTTGGACATGATCTTGGAGGTATTTTCCAAAATGAATGACTTTGTGATTCTCCAAAGCAGGGCAGTGCAGGGTAGGGGGGATGGAAGGAGCTGTCACTTCCCACTGAGAGCACAGCAGGTAATTCCTGGGAGGTGCTGCCTTTCCTCCTTCCCCTGGTGGAGCTGAGCTTGCTGTGCAGAGCTGTAGTTCCAGGACACAGCTCTGATGCTTCCTGTGGGAATAGAGGAATATTCCTGCTATGGTGGACACTGACATTCCTATTATCCTTGTGTGGAAAGTGCTACAGTGATGTTCAGCAGCAAGAAGCCCTGAAACAAATGCTGGACAGGACTTTGCTCCAGTGACTGGCAAAGTTGGAGTCCATGAGCACAGGTTTTGGAGACCCACAGTGGTATGGACAGGACCATTACAGACCAAATCTGTGTGGCTAGAGCAGCCCACCATCCCCATGTGTGTAGGAGATGCTCCTTTCTGTTACCCCAAGAGCTGAAGAGTCACAAAACTTGAAGGGGAAAGAGGTTTCTGAGAAAGAAGAGGATTTGGACAAGGGTGGATGTATTTTCACTTCCAGTAATATGTGAATACCGAGTCTTTGCCATCTCCTGGGGAAGAACTTGTTTGCCCAGTTGCTAGAGGGAGCTTTGGGGCCAAGTTTTATCCCAGATTATAGCTGCAAGCCTCAAAAAGTCACTGGGAACAGACTGGAGAAGAAACCAGCCCCTCACCTGCCTGAAGGCTCACTGCAAATCTTCCCTGGGTTCTCCTACATCACTGGCTTGTTTTCCCTCCCTCCTGGGGAGGTAG